CAGGGCAGGGGAAAGACGACGTCCTCGGGCTCCATGAGCGCATTGAACATGCTGTCGTCGCCGAAATCGAGGCTGTCGAGGTCGCTGTCCTCGTCGTCGGCGTCTTCCTCCATGTCGATATCCATCCCCATGTCCCTATCCACATCCATGGGCATGTTAGTCCGCGAGACGTCCTCTAGCTCATCCTCGTCGTCGCTCATGCTCATGAAGTTGCTCTGGCGGGCGTGTTTCGGTGATACGAGCAGGGGTGTAGAGCGGCACGCCCGGCCTTCGAGAGCTGCGAGTGCGGCGGAGCGGTGCCCGCGCCGGGCACGTGTTGAGACCGTTGAGGCAGTCGCTTTCGTGGCGACGGACACCCGCCTAGAGACGATGGAGGAGAGGTGTTCGAGGAGGACGGAGGGCTGGGGAAGGGGTAGTGCGTCCGGGAGACGCGGATGGAAAGCATGGGTGCGGGCATTGGTAGAGGGAGCTCGAGGGCGGGTAAAGCTGGGAGGGAGGGCAGGCGCGGGGGAGCTGAGGCGGGTTGAGGGGAGATGGAGGCGGACGGCGGGAGGTCGGGGAGGGTGATAGAGGGCGCTGGCTTTGGAGAGGGGATGGTGCGGAGGGAGTCGCGCGAGAAGCGGGTGCGCAGAGAGCAGGTGCGTGGGGCTGCGGGTGCGGAAGGGCCAGCCGCGCTGTCCTCTGGAATGCTCCTAGAGAAAAGTTAGCTGAGAAGAGGGGAGAGGAAGGGGTGCAACACACGGAAACTTGAACGGTTTCCTCGAGGACGCCTTGCGCTTGAGGGATGCTGAGCGGAGAGACTGTGACTCTGCGAGGTCGAGAGAGAGGAACGAGCGGTACTCCTGCTCGTCGCGGCGGGGCTGCAGCGTGAAGTAGAACGCGGACGCCTGGTCTCCCGTCTCGACCGACCGCGTGCTCGTGTCTGTCGGCAGGCTGCCACGGCGGGGACCAAGGGGGACGTCGGGTGATGCCGGGCGGTCGACGGGGGACGAGAGGAGGCCAGACATGAAGAAGGGGGAGTAGGGTGCGGTGTACATCGTTGCTGGCTGCTGGGATGGAGGAGGGGAGGAGGGACAATGGGTCAGCGAGCGCGCGGCTCTTATATTCAAACTCGTTCGTCAATTCTCTCTGCCTGCAGATCTAGATCGAGATCTCACTGGGGAGCGAGATCTGGTCACAGTCACGCCGGCCTATCCCCCGACCCCCGCCATCACCCATGAGGCAAGGCCACCCCCTCGTCCAGACCCGCCCGCCACCAAGCACCGTGTCACTCGGGCCCTCGATTTCCCGCCCTCAGGGTCATGCTTTATTATTATGTTTCAATAAATATAATTTCCCGACGATGATCACCGACGCCCGACCAATTAGCCTTTTTCGTCATGTTCAACTTTCTTTTTCGCCGGAGTGGGGACACGTCCGACGCGACCCACCGCCTGTTCCTCCGCATTCAGCAGCTGCTCCGCTACACTCGCACCTCCTCCCAGTTCTGTCACTTTCTTGCGACCTCTTCAAGTACGCAAGAACTCGAAGCTCCAACCAAATCTCGCCGAATCTCAATTTATCGCGAGCTCCCTCCCTCAAAAACACCAAATCTCGCTCCCCACAACTGACGTACTTCGCGAATGGATCCCTCTTCCTCTTCCTGTCCCCACCTCCCAGATCCTCCCTGGGCCCTCACCTGCGCGATCTGGGTCCAAATTAAAACCCCTGTTTATGCGACTCTCGGGCTGCAAAAGGCGATTGACGCGCCGCTCGACTGTCGACTGGTGAGTCCCGCCTGTCATTCCGCTGTCAGCGTTGGGATATCACTCATCCACCTCGCCTCCTCCACTTCTACAGTGCTTTGGCGAGCTGCCCTCTCGCTTCAACTCGCCGTATATCCAGAGACTCGAAATAATCTATTATTCCTATCCAAGGACCTGAGTGACTGCGGACCCACTCCTTGCATACCAGCTGCATAAGTACCGTTTACCCAGCTCCGGTACCCCGGTGCGCAGTCCCTTCCATTGTCCTCGAGTATGAAACCCCGGCTTGAAAATAACCATGACCGACGTTATTTCCAATATACATACGCGGGCCCAGCCTCGAGCCCGTGCGTCGTGGCGTCAATAACGGGCGTTGGTCGCGGGTGCCTGTTGCGTTGCGTTGCGTTGCGCTCCGGGTGCCTTTTTTCGTCACGACCGGCTAATGGCTAATGGGTGTTGTCGCTTGAGCGCTTACCACTTGTGATATTCCATTGGTAACAGTCGCTCGCGGATGTAGGTAAGGCGTGTTGTGCATATATTTAAATAAATGCTTGCCTGCAGGCTGCGACGGGCTCCAACCCGCTTTTCTCATACGCAACGGCGACGGCAAAGATAAAGAGCAGGAGACTCAGAGCGAGGTGGAGCAAGCGCAGTCCGCAAAAAATACTCTCATTTCAACGCTCATCCATGTTCATCTCATGACGCGCCTTGCCATCTGATTCCAATTCTGACGCGCCAGATCCGCCGTCCACACCCCAAATCTGCTCCCCTCTTCATTGTCCTCTTAGGCCTTCTCCTTCTCCTTCGCCTACTGTCACGCCCGACGGCAGACGGCGCTCCACCACACTCAGACTCAGCCAAGTCATATGGGCACTAGGGCACGGAGAGAACTTCGGTGTCGGCGTCAGCGTCAGCGGACACCCGCCGTCCCAGTCTCCTAAAATAGCTCTTCCTGCCAAATTTGGCCTGCTCTTTCCTTGATATGGCGGTCACGCATCCACGAGGCTGGTGCATTAATCTGACTCTGATCTCGCGCCGTAGCACAAGCTGTAGGAGGTGCTCCCAGATCGCTTGTTGCGTCCTCGTTGTGCTATCTAGGGAGGAGGAGGGAAGAACATGAGCCGGCGCTTCGCTACTTCTCCATCTTCGCGTCTTCAGGCTTCGGGCTTCGGGGCAGCGTCGGGATAAGAGCTTCAAGCTTCGGCCTTCGAGCGACCACAAGTCCTATTGCGTCGGGATGTGGCTCTTCGACTCTCAGCGCTTTCTTGTATTTTTTTGGGGGCCCTGAGGTGGGTTTCGAGTGGGTGTCGCCCTCTATGTCTCTCGTAGCAGTGTCTCTTCACAGTGGATTCTCCTACTTAGACTCCACGCAACAATGACCCAGGATTCGCGTCATCGACTGGTAATGCGCTCATTGTGATGGCAATTAAGCGCGTCGTCACTTGGTCTTCGCTGCTCTTCTCGGGAAGATTCATGTACCACTCTACTACTCTACCTAGTAGGTTCGGAAGATCTGGTTGGACGCGTCGTCCAAGAGGGATCTGATCACCCTCCTCTTCCTTCTTCTTCTACTACTGCTGCTGCTGCTGCTGCTGCTGCTGTTGACGTGCCGCCTTGATGGGGGGTTGATTTTCTGATGTACATATGCATGCATTGATTTATTGGCCCTTCTAGTATTTAGTGCTGCTGGGGCTGGGGTGCTTCTTCGGTGGGTAGTACGAAACATTATGCTCTTGAGTTGGCGATCCGCATACCGTATTTAGTGGACTAGTCGCGAGTGATAGAGTGCCTTTCTGATTAGGGATGCTGAAGGCCCTTTTGTGTGGGGTTGCAATTGGTTACTAGTTCGAACGTGTATATTACGAGGAGCAGCCCAGTGAGAGAGTTGTAGTTAGCTACTAGCTTGTACACGCTGCGTGAACTCGAAGTTCTCTCTCTGCCCGAGCTCTCCGACGACTCCACTCGAGCACCTCGTTGCGTTTGCATCGTTTTGACGAGCTACTACAAGCAACCTAACGCGCTGCAGCGCGTGGTCCCACAACGCGTCTTCGAGTCCGTCACATGCTCGTGGCGCCCGCCGCCTGCCATTTCCAGTCCACCGTCAGCGCCAATGTCACACTCCCCACGATCGTCCCTCACCCGTCCTTGCTGCATGACCTCGCGGAACCGACGTCGACGGTGCTTGCGCAATTGCCTAGCCCAAGTTCGATCGCGCTTGTATACAATCGGGCGCCGATACCGAGCATTTGCGCACTGCATACCAGAAGACGCAAGAGAGGGCGGAGGGACCGCCGAGTGACTGTGTGTTCTCGGGCCCGAGGTCAGCTTTCCAACTCCCTCTTGGTGTTGCTGACAAAATTCCATCAAAATTCTCATTGACAGTTCCCAGTATTTTTTTTCGGGATGTCACTTTTTCGAGCTTCCTGTCGTCTCGCACCGCCCTCGCCTCGGTGTAACCTCTGCATTCCGCCAAAGACCCTCCTCCAAATTTCTTTCCGTTTCGGTGCTCCCCTAGGACCGACACCGATATCCACGGTGCGTCACTCACCCGGCCAAGGCTACGGTGACGGCCGCCTTCAGTTGCTAGGCTCAGTGTCTCACTAGAGTATATGCAGAGAGGCGGAGCTCGGAAGCCGAGCGTTCATACCATATGTCAGTGGGTCGGTGGTCCATTTAATTGTCTTTGGAATAGCTCTGCCTCCTGTCAGTGACGACGAAGAGCATGTGGAAGGGTACCAGGCTTGGAGATTGGACCTACACCCTCGGCTCCGAGAAATGCAGGTGCCAAGACGGGTGGTAAGCGCTAAGCGCCGGTCACGGTTTGTCTATGAACAATTAGACCACTCGATTCCTGGAAATTTCGGTACCGACCCTCGCTTACCCATCGTGGAAGGAGGATACTATCCGAGATACTAATATGGTGGGTCCGAGCATAGAGTTGTGCACGCGCGGCGGTACCGGCATTTACTCCAAGACTGTCCGCGACCTGTATTTGGGTTATTGAGGTGGTCGATGGCGTACAACTCCATTGCGCGATGCCCTCCTACGCCCATCGTGGAAGGATACGGCGAATCCAAGCATAGAGTTAGGCACGCGCGGCGGTACCGACATTCACTTCAAGACTAATACTATTTGCGATCTGCGTTTGGGTCGTTCGGGTGTTCGATGGCGTCATGTTGTCAGCCGGTCGCGGGTTAATTGTCTCGTACCCGCGAGCTGCAAAAAACGGCATAGGTGGTGAAGTTGCGGTTGGTGCGCTTTCGATCGTGTTTTCTCGGGCCCGAGTGCGTGCTGAGAGCCGCTTTCTAATTCCCCTGGAAGCCCCCATCAATAGTTCGCGCCGTATTATACGACATGAAGTTTCGTTTTGCGTCGCTCAATATGCCCTCCAAACGCGTCATATACATAATTCGGGCAGGCTGAGTGAGACTGCCCGACACAGGTGACCTGAGCACGCGCTCCGTCAATTGTCTATCAAAGACAGCTCCTGAACGTCTGAACGTCCTGAACGGCATTCCTATCATCTAGTTACACTGGTATCTGCACGCAGGGGCACTTGGTTGGACCTACCCGAAGCTTCTGCATGTGGCGCATCCAAGTTAAGCGGTAAGCGCCGGCCAGGGGCTCGTTCACGAACAATAAAACTTGATCAAGAGGGCAGTCGCCAGTGGAAGGTTCGGAACCGATACATGCTATCTAATTCACATAGTTCCGTTGAATGGAGCGGGACCAAGCAGCGCAGAGGCGAGGAGTCTCGGGACCGACCCTTTCGTGCGTATTTTGTTCCAAGAGTATCTTAGATGTGAGAGGCGTCGTCACTCTTGAGGATCGTCTCAACTGTGTGCGGCGAGGGGCGGTACCGAGAGGACAGTTGGAGTACTGCCTTAGAAACGCGATGGAGTGGGGCGCCGTTGAAATTATTGTTGAAGATCTTTTCTTTTTCGATCATGATCAGCTTGTGCGGTACCGAGACTTCTCCAGGTGAAAGTCGAAGGGCTCGAGTTCAGAGCACAGGATATTTTATTGACTGGTAGCATTTCGAGCTAATTCAGAAAATGCTTTCAGTCGATCCTCTGTCGTACGTACCGAAAGACCATTGTGACATTTTCAAGAGCAGGCAGGTTCTATGTCTCATATTCAACGAATGCAGGATTAATTTGCACGCCCGCACGCCACAGAGGGGCGTTTCTACGAATGACTAATGCGACGAACCCGCCGTGATGCGCACGTCAATCGCGGCGGAATAGCTGTAATTTGTCACGTACGCAGGGACGCGGTCGATTTACTGCCAGCCATAAAAGAGCGATTGGAACGCCATCGGTACCGAACGCTCCCCACATTCAATATTCGATCAGGTAATTTCCTGAACCGCATCTCACACAGGATAAAGCAGTGCGTTACATCCCTCCCCACGTTTACGCGCCACTTGCCTTTTCCGGTGTACCCGCCCTCGGGCCCGAGCCGCGTTTGTCCTTTTCCAGCGAACATACACTCGACGTCGTTGGGCAGTGTGCTACTATAAAGAGTATTCCGCTATGCGTCCGCGCCCCAGGTGCGTCATGCAGTGCCCGAACTGAATGGGCGCATGCTCGGTGCCGCGTCTCGGATTTAGCCTGGGGCGCACGGGGGCCGGGCGCGGCTGAGACGCGTCGCCTGTTTGCACCACCGGGCGATCGCGCTCGATAGTAAGAAAGCGCGATCGCGCGCTGGCCTGGGTCGCACATCGTAGAGGAGGGGTAGCAGTGTTGGCCTGCTGTATTGACACTCAAGAAAGGGTCCCTCGCTCTTTGGCGTCGACCTCCTGAGGGGCACAATCTCTGATAATAGAATTCACTGACCACCTATGGCATAATTTCTTTCTGTGGTGCACCGGCGACTCAAAGCGCTTCGAGAAATCCGCCAGTCACGTCCCCGACGCCTTCTTGCGACTAAGTACTTGGTCTGCGAATGGTCATATGTTATATATAACATTCGGTTCTCCGATTCACTGACCTTTTAATTGAGATTGACTACGCATGATTAGTGTTACCTTACTCAGAGGCCTGACGGTCACCCTTTTCGAACTGAATTGTTGTGCAGGTTCATAGTTCAGACGGCGCGCGAGTGGACGGCTCTGGTCGAGCGTATCGAGTCTGGTGGTGCAAATTCCAGCGAGGAAGGGTAATTTTTTTGTGTTGTAGAGTACCATGACTCCTTTGACGACGGCCTCAATGTTTTCGCCACTCCGATTGGCAGTGTGGGTGCGGGGAGGCACCAGTAGTAGTCGTGGCGAGCGCTTCGAAATGCACGTGGAGGCTGTGGTCGATGAGGTGATCAACGTCCTTCGGAAGCAGTACCGTTTTCTGTCTCATTGCTGTTATATTCTCTGGGGATGCCCGTGCAAGGGTGCACAAAATGCGCAGTCCTCACGACGAGTACAGGGTCTCAATTTCTAGTTTCTGACTTCTCGACAGTCAGTAGGGAAAAACACTTGTCGACGCATACACTTCATCCGAGTTCGAATGCTCATCGTCGGACATTCAATTGTAGCACGCAAGTATTTTTGGACTAGGGCAGCTTGTGAGTAAAGCCGCCTTACGAAGGGCGTCATGCGGTGTATTCAGTCTCAATCAGAACTGAAGCTCGATTCGAAGGTCTTTGCATTCCATTGGTGTGCACCGACCGGGGTCGGTGCACACCATGGAGCGCGCTGGCCATCTGACCACCGCCCTTCCCCGCCCTCCCACAATTTCTTGTACTCTCAGAGGCTCCCAGGAGGGTCTGACTCGACCATCCCCATGAGGACGAACCTGCACGATAGGCTCTCCCTACTCTTATAAAGGCAATTTCCGGACTCAGGGACTTGTCACGCTGCCGGCACCTCGTGTTGTTCGCCGAACCGCGACTTCACCGTAAGCGAGCAGCGTGCGCCGCAGGGTAAGCGCTCAGTGGAAATTTCAATTATGTTTCCATGGATTCCTTGTGCTTCTTCGCCTTGCCGGATCTCGTAATTATGTTTCACCTTGAGCGTGTTGTGGAAGGTTGTGGAATTGTGGGTGTGCCGGCTTCTTTGCGACACGCACATAACACGACTCCGCTGACCCGCGGTGTAACACGATGCGACCATGGGTTATAACGTAAACGGCAGCGATGATTGAGTCCAGTCTTTTGTAACTTGTTGCTGCCTCGTTTTTTTTGGGTTCTGGTTGTCTCTTTCGACTTTTCCCCCTTGTCATGGCGGATGCATCCTGTTGAAACGGCGGTGACGCCGTGTCGTTTGATAAAATGTAAGTGACTCACCTATGAACAGAGTTCTATAGGTTCAGCTCTGGGCTAATGACTTTCCACTGCCCAGCACCCATTCTACACACGTTTGTTCGTCCAGGACTATATCACCCACGAGTTGACTGACAAACTGCGCGTTGCCGTGCTTCACCAGTCGACGAATGGTTCGCGAAGCCCACGGAGTGTGAGGTGGGTCTGGAATTTCGTGAAAACGGAACTCTGGCCTCCGCTGTTGATAATCATACTCGAGCCCATTAGGCTTCGCCATTTTTCTCGTTGTCTTGTCACCTCGTTTCTGAGATTTGTCCTCCCATTTCGTGAGGTCCTAGGATCTCCATTATACAAACCCTGTTTCACTGCTAGTACAGCCTACGAAAAAGAAGATTTACCCTGTCATTGTGGACGAATTAGGCCCGCGGTTTACGAGAGGATGTCGTAGACCGACTGTTCGCTGTCCATCCTTGGGTTTTACTTGCCTCAGGGTTCATGCTCTCGACTCGTTTGCCAAGCGCCTTCCAATTTTTTAAAAAAGGATTATGTCTGTACCGAAGATTCACTTCTCTGCATTCGAGGGACAGCAAAGACTGTCCCGTCATTATGTAGCTGTCTTGTGCGTCTCAGCTGGCCAGTCTAACGTGTAACCCCCCCCCCCCCCCCCCCCGGCGCCCGCGACATCTGCCATCTTGCTTGCCTGGGATAACTTGAACATGTCCTCCATGTCGAGGATATAAGCCTCCGCTTGTATCACCAGTTCTCGACCCGTCGTTTTCGGCCTTTGACTATTCTGTCCATCCGCCGGTTGAGCGGCGCATCATGTGGCGTCATACTGCAGTGTGACATCACTATTTTTAGATTTTGATGCGTCGCGCGACTTGTTGCGGCAGATTACCCAATTTGAATTAAGTTGAACAAACACTTTCTTAGCCGCAGCACGTCGCGAGTTGTCGCGATCGTTCTTCGCTCCTCGTTCGCTGGATTATCTCGCGGCGCCACCGAGGTCTCCATTAACCGTACAATGCTTCTTTTTCTTCGGACTCCTTTACACCTCTGGCTGCGAGGTTCTAGCTCACGGTTTATCTCTTTGGCTCAGCTTTACCAACCCGCAGCGTAGACAGGGCCTCCGACGGTGCGCAAGGGCTCCAGGTCTTCCAGTGCTGATATGGCCCAAGGTAAGTAAGACCTCACCCTGTTTCCTCTGCAAGGACAGAAACCCTACTTGTCGGTGTCAGGGCCTCAGGACTAGTTCGCCAACAACCCGCTGAATCTGTCTTATTCATCCTCTTCAAAGCTCGATCGACGGCGCGACTTGCATTGATACTGGTTGATCAGTGCACTCCGTTGGCGTGCCTAACGCCCCATGTCAAGGAAGTGACGACGTCAATCCGTGCCAATCAGGAGACTGTTTTAGCCGTGCTTTCGTCACATATACCACCAGAAGCCTCTTTGTTGTCTCCGTATGACCAAAGGCTGCAGGCTGCCTGTCTCTCTGGAAATAACAGGTAAAGGAGTTCTCGCTGGTCGCCATGTCTTCGAGTATATTCTTGGAGCCGATGATAGGTGCTCCCAGAAATGTTCCGGAGCCTCACTATGTACCTGCTCCCTGGCGTTGCATTCTCAGTGGCTGAATCGACGGCCTTTTTTCTGCTAGGTTGGCGTCTCGACCAGCTCGTTTCTCCTTGAATATAGTGATTGGTGACACTCTCGGCAATCGTTCTTCCTGAGGTCCGTACATACCTGGGCCTTTCGGACACGATCTCAACGATTTCCCTACTCGCTTCGGGTCGAGGTATGGCACATACATATCATGTAAGCTTTCTGCCTTTAATCTGCCTTCTAGACAAAGTTCCTGGTCCCGACCGTTGCAGTGACGGGACGTCGAAAGTCTACTCACGCCAGGAACATATTGGATTGCCGCTCTTGACACAACCTCCTGCTAATACATCTCCAACTATGTATGCACCGGAGCCATCATGCCACCATTATTGGTGCCTGGTGGGTGATATATCCTCTCAAGAAATGAAGGTCAGGAAATACGATCTTCCATCCACCCCAACAATTTCTGCCGTCATTGCTTGCATGAAGTTGTGGCCGTACGTATCAGGTCACCCGTGCAGCCCTCGTCTTCTGTCTCTCCAAAAGGCAGCTAAAAGCGATTAGTGACCCGCCATCTATCAATCTTGCCTTGCCAGAGAGTGCGCCACAAGAGCGGATGTGTTAAATAATAAGTAACGTTCAACCCATTTCGTTATCAGTTGTCGTCTAATGCAAATAAATACTTGAGACCGTAGCACGAGTTCTCCGACAGCAACGAGGGAATTCCGGTGTGATGGCAGTTAAAACGGCAAAACAAGGAGCAAATCCAGCAGCGGAGTATCTGTTGGCGCATACATGCGGTGATTGTAGTCCACCGTACCGTCCATTTCTGGTTCAAGTCGCCACCTTGGAAATCAGACCCAGAAGACCTGCGACGACGGTTGCGAGCGAAGGTGACCAATCTGAGAACGCCCCGCCCGGGAAGTCCATGAGTCTCGCAAGAAGCATCGAAGGCGGTGGTGATGTCAACGAAGTGGCAGAGAAGGGGTTCAAGATAGCGTGCCACTGCTGAAATAAGGTGGCGCTCATCAGTCGCCTGTCCATCCAAGCCGTCGAAGGTCTTTCAGACATTCGTCCGTATCCTGCTTGACCCTTGTCCAGTCGTTGACAATTTGCTGATATCCGCCGTTCCCGCCGTCCACTAGCCGCAGCAAGGTTTCGTATTCTCGAAGTTGCTGATCCAGAGAATCTGATTCAGCTTTAAGTTCTTTCTCTTCCGATTTGAGTGCGGAGAACGCAGCTTCAATCGCGTCCGCGATCGTTTTCTTTCCACCGGAGCTATTTTTTGGGTGATGTCTGTAGAAGGCTCGCTCAGTGCGGGCTTGTAGGAGGGAAAGTTTGATGAGTGATGCCTCGATAGTGGCAGCTAGCAGATCTATTGAGGCGGAACGTGCGGCATTGTAGGCCGGGAGAGTAGTATAGATCGCTTGCTTTAGCTCGGGATCGAACCCTTCATGGGCCTAACAACGAGGTTCTTGTTTCAAATTCGAGGGACATGCACGACAGAAAACGAACATACCTGCGAAATCTGGATGATGAGCTCTGCTAAGTGAGAAGATAGTCTTGTGACCTGTTGTCTTGTCGCTTCTATCTCGCTTTTATGCTTTTGTATGTTATCAGGTAGCTCGATAAACTTCCCGTCGGTTTCACCAACATGAGATGCATCTGCTGGGTAAGTTGATGCGGTAATCATGACACGGCGGAGAACACAAACCTCCATCGAAGAAGAGAGCTATAGACCGAAGTGTAGTCCTTATCTTGTCAAGAAGGCGCTGCCTAGTCGAAGCATCGAGCTATCCAACAGAAATAGAGGTCAATTAACCTGAGGCCAATGAAGAGCCGGGTGGTCCTACATGGCGGCGAATAGGCGTTCCAAACGCAAGCAATTCTTGTTCTTGGAAAGGTCCATAAACAACCTTGGGCCGATCCAAATCGTCATTGGAGACTTGGGTGTTGCCAGGCGATGCTGATTCTGGTGCGGATATGGAGGTTGAATCAGCAAAAATGTCGCCGAGCGTAATATCTGTGAGGATGTCCTGAAGGGTATGCAGTTAGCCAACTTGGTGCGCCGCAGCATGCTAGCTGTTCGAGTATTACCTGAAGAGAGGGGTCGTCTAATGCCAGATCTCCGAGAAGACCAATATAAATGGAGGTGTAGATAGTGGATAGTGTCCTCTCAGGCATTGGGTAGACACTGTCGGTGGGAAAGTATTGCCACAGTTTCCAAACACCTCCAGGTCTGGAGTCCTGTGGAGTCGCGCAAGAGTCACGGTCATATGACCGCGATGTCACCGCAGCTACGACTGCGAGGAACATTTGAAAACTTGAGTACTTATTTCAGCTTTCTATTATCAAGCTTGTGACCCATCTGAAAGAGATTCTACACAGCTACACTTGATTCCTATTCCTACTCTGAGTGAAGTTCTGCAAGGCAGAACCGACAGCATTAGCCAGTACTCCCGTGACAGAGCCAGCCGTCTGGACAACGCCTGCTAGAGTTTGGACAGTATTGCCCGCGAAATTCCACCCAGGTGAACCTCCCTTGGAGATCCTTGACTGAGCACCAGCCGACATCATGATAGCAGCCTTGACCGAATCCAATTCGTTGAGGACTTCCACACCGACTGATCTGGCCCAAACGAGCGCCTGGTTGTCTATCGTGTACAACTTGTGCAATTTATCCATTGCTGACATCAGGGTATGGTTAGCCAAGTACCGCTCTTGAGCATAAGGTAGAAGGGCGGTATAAGAGCCTATCTAGGGGGTCAGGATACAGCTTCAGCATAGAAGTTCTGCAAAGACTTACCAATGTCGCCACCAGCCAACAAGCTGTTCTCTATGCATCGGGAAAGGCATTGTACGTCGCCTAGACCGAGATTCAACCCTTGTCCGGCCAATGGATGCACTGTATGTGCCGCGTCACCTACAAGCACGGTTCGGGCGCCATGACCCTCGCCGAGGTAGGACTCCGCGTGATTATAACGTAAAGGAAATGACGCTGCTGATCCGGGCTGTAGCTCTGTTACCAGCGGTGGGATGCTCTCCGAATCGGCTGGCGGTATTCCAAGCTGGACGTTCGCCTCGTCCACTGTAGAGGTATAGGTCGAATTCTGATCAATGGCGTGAGCTTGTTCGCGCCACCGAATTTCCTCGTGAAGAGTGGATGGTGAGATAGAAGATCCTCTGGCATGGGCATCGAGGATTAGATTATGAAGATATTTCATGGACAGGTCAGGTAAACGGAATGCGGCATTTATCATGGCAACGAGGACGGCTGGGTCAGAAGCTAAGAGAGCCGCAGCGAGTGCGGGTTTTGTTGACCAGACTAAGGAAGAGATTGTGGAGGAGAGTGGTAAGAAGGCTACGGGACCGGTTGGTAAAAAGCGTTGATATGCTGTCGTATTTGGTCCTTCGAAAGCACCGCGAGGGTTGTGAACCATTGTTGCGACAATGGCCTGCGTGTTGTAACTCCAGCCGAAAGAGGGAATATTGGCAAAGGATCGAACTGGGGAATTGAAACCATCAGCTCCGACCTATGGCCACGCTCAGTCAGAAATATCGCCTATAAATTTCAGAGTTTACCAGCACTCTCGCCCGAACGACTTTGTCATTAGCAAGGCGGACTAAGGGCCAGCCTCCACGCTCTTCCGTATCTCGCTCGATCGCTGTCACTTTTGTTCGCTGAAGTACTTGAACCTCTGGCATGGTGTCTAAATGCCGTAGAAGCCCACGTTGAAGGTTGAAGTTCTCCGTCAGTCGCGACATGCCATGCGAGGAAAGTGCTGGGGAGATATCTTCTGCAAAGAATTCTATGCGTGCATCGGAAATGCCATCCCAAACCTACGAATAATCGAATTTGAGTCACGGGAGTTGGAAGGAGAGAGCTCCTAACTTGCAACTCCTCAACAGGACATGTGCGCGCCTCATCGATAAATTTCCAAGCACCGGTATCTAGTTGACAAGGTCAAAAGAACCGCGAGTTAACCAAGTTGACAAAGAGCTCGCCTTCCAGAAACGTTCGCGACGCGTTTGTGAGCGAAACGACCCGATTGGAATATGTGCCAGGAGCTGGGTTCCAGTTTTTGATTTTGCTGAGGTCGCCTCCTTCAATAAGAGTTATGCTAGTATTTCTGCGAACAGTAGGAGAAGATCCTAACCAATTCATGAGCCTCGAAAAAAGTGGTAACTGAGCATCCAACGCACCTAAAGCGCTCGCAAGGGCAAGTCCGGCAGGTCCTCCTCCGACAATCACAACATCACTTTCAATAACATTTTGGGGTCCTTGGTGTAAGAGGTTTCTTCGACCAAGAACGAGAGCTTGTCTAAGAACTTTCCGACGCAAAGGCGTCGACGTCGCGGTTAAGGACATTGTGGACTCATGTTGGCACGTGTTGCTACAATTGGAGTGATCGGACCGCGGTGCCTCTCCTCCGCCGTCCATGGCTGCTCCTCCAGGACCTGTCTCTGCTGCACAGGCGATAGGTGAATACCTCCAGTCTCCGGATGATCTCGTCAAGGTATCCGCCTTCAGAAAGAAACTCGAGAAGGAGAAGGCGTCGATAGATGCGAGGCTGAAGAACGGCGTCAAGGAGCAACTACAAGCCACAAGATTGGGCTTGAAGAAGTTCATCGGTACTCGAGAAAATGTACAGGCTATCAAGGATGAAATGATGACCATTGAGAAGGAGTGCGAGGATCCGTCGGTTCGAGTCGCGACGTTCGACCAGATCAGCAGGGTGCGTTGTGTTGTGCCTTGGTGTTAACAATCGTAACATCTCTAATAGGTGTCTATGGTTCACCGTAACTTCGAATCTACCGAAGAAATGGTCAATAACCTCCTCATGATGGGCGCCCAATTGGACAATCTGGAACACATGCTTGCCGCGGATAGCAGAGAAGTTGTTGGACCAGCTCCCAACTTGCTTATAATCCATTATCACCTGAATCAACTGGAACGCTTTCGAAACCTGACAATGCATCAAGCCAAGAAGGCGTCTGAGAGCTCGCAAGCTACCCTGACGAGATGGTTTGAACGCCTGAACAAAGTCATCGCAGCGTTCGATGAATACATTTTGGAATTGGCACGAAATGTTCTGAACCTCGTTCGTGCTGGGCATTCCGATGTGGTGGTGAAATTGATTAAAATTGCGGAAATTGAGGGAAAAGAAGATGAAAAGGCGAGTTATTCGGACTTTTGTGCAATGCAAACCTTACATTTGCATTTAGTCTCTGGTCATGCGTTTCGTCAAAAAGGCCGCTAAGCTAGACGCAGCCTTGAAATTCAAGTCGCTACAAGCAAATGCTCGGGTTCTTAAACATTATCGCACCAAGATAACTAAAGCCATTACACAATCCATCCACGACAAAGTCGAATCGGCCTACAAGCGCTCCGAAGACAACCCTGTTGGCTTCCTCGGTAGTCTCACATGGCTATATCAGGATATTTTGCGCATTGAAAGCGACGTTGCTCCTTGCTTCCCCGCGGAATACGAGATTTACTCGTTGTATCTTCGCGAATACCACAAAGCCATGAACTCAGTTGTCAAGAAGATTTCCGTTGCCAAATCGGATGCAAGTGTTCTTCTATCCTTATATGAATGGTTGAAGGAATACAAGGCCAACATGAAGGAGCTTAATGTACCATCAGAATTACTTGATCCCCCTCTACTTGATGGCAAGGAGCAGACACTCATTGAAGACTACGTGCAGCTGATCATCAAGAAACTCGACGAGTGGTCCGCCAATCTTATGAAAACAGAGATCGCAGAGTTCACCAAACGAGACGAACCCCCAGAGCTCGACAGTGATGGCCTCTACGGTACCCAGGGCGGAGTCATTCTTTTCCAAATGGTCAACCAACAAATCGATCTAGCGACGGAGAGCGGGCAGGGAGCTATCTTGGCTCGAGTTGTGGGCGAAACCAATCGAGTCATGAGGGGTATCCAAGACCAGTGGTCGAAAGTCATCGATTCTGAGTTCAAGAGGCAGATGGAGAAACCAGAAGAGACACCAGGTGGCCTGGTGGAATACTGCATCGCTTTGGCGAACGACCAGATCAAATCGGCCGACTTCGCTGAAGCCCTTCTCGCGCGACTAGAGCCTCTCGTGTCCGCGAAGTATCAAGCACCGATAACGGAGCGTCTGAACGATGCCATCGACGGATACTTGGATATCGCCAAGAAGTGCATGCAGACACTCATTGACATGGTATTCAACGACTTGAAGCCTGCTACGAAGAATCTCTTCCAGCCTCCGTGGTACGATGGTATCATGCGTCAAATCGTGGAAACGATGCGCGACTATATGGCTGACTATCAGAGCTATCTTAACTCTGCATTGCTGGAACTCCTTGTGGAGGATCTTATTGATGCTTTCTTACTTACCTACCTCAATTCTCTCGCCAATGCACCGAAGCTCAAGATGCCAGCGGCTGCAGAAAGATTCAAAGAGGACATCACGGAAGTATTTTCCTTCTTCAGCACTCTGGCTCCAGCGAAAGATGTCGAAGCTCGATTCGAAGTCCTGGAGATGATCCTCGCCATGCTTGAAGCGTCGAAAGATATCGCTTTCCTATCTTTCTGGTCTTTCGCCAAGGTCCACGGTCCTAATATCGCCTTTGTAGAGGCTCTGATGAAGTCACGAAGTGATTTCGATCGTTCAGCAGTGAGTGAGATAATGGACAGCATCAAGCGGAAGGTGAAGGACGAAGGTTTGGCAGAACGTCAGTTGTTTCCATGCTCTCTTGTTATCCTCGGTGACTCATTTATACCACAGCACCGGAACCAACCATCATGAAGAAAGTCAATGTCGGAAACGCATTTTCAAGATTCCTACGGACATAACGATAATGACGCACAATTTCATTGCCTTCATCGGACTTCTGCGACCTGTATATAGATACTACCCACCTGCACATCATGTTCCTATACCATCGTTTCCTGTTCTTGCATAATTTATTCACTGCGGCTTTTTCACTCAGTCTTGGTCTTATCGGTTGTCGCCTGATTTGAACGATCTGGCAGGACAGCCGCGATTGCATCTATCTTCTTGAATTGCCATGGGAAGCGCGACGGGTACAAGAATGGACGGAGGTCAAATCCTTGGTGAAATGGTCAGCACGTCTCGTTAGACATCCCCCTTCCAATGCAACTCACTGTTATCATCAGGACTATAGGATTCCTGTGAATAGATCTGTGAGATACTGTACATGGAGCAGCAATAGCTTTAGTACGAACCGCATGATACGCAGGAGTCAAAGTTGTCATCTTATGACGATTCCTCGCATGTTCGAAGAAGAACAATTTGACCTTTTCCGCGATCTGGATTTTCTTAGTGCATTGGCCGATTCTGCCTGGTCTGTCGCTTACCTGGAGAGGGGAGAGGAAGGAACCCCATTCGTGCACGAGCTTCGTAAATGTACTGTATGGTCCACATTTCTCCACCTTGCGAAGGCGACCGAATACTGACAACTCGTCGTAAGTCATACCCATGTCAGCCTCGTCTGACTGCACGTAGGTCTCCGTGATAGGCTCCAATTCGGCTGTGGGGACGGCATCAATGAAGCTGACCTGGTGTGTGAGGATATGAACTGCTGCGGTTGAAGGAATAGTCACCTTTGCAGGATGGGGAGGTCAAAGGCACGTTGAGCATAGGCGATGAATTTCTTCAGATCTGTTTTGCTGATTCCCCCGATAGGATTGATGTCAGCTAGAGGAGACCTAAGTAAATGTCACATTGCCAGAAGATTCGCTTCAGACCTGAAGAGCAGTCGTATTTCGTTAAATATCCACGAAGACTTAATGTCCACCTATCAGCTTGCGTGGGATGCGCATACACATCGAACCGACCTTTCGTCAACGTTGGCACTTCCGAGAACAAGGAGGCCACCGTTCCGTCCTCTGACCCATGGCAGAAGCTGAGCAAACAAGTACGCGAGAACCATCCGAAGCCTTGCCTGTGGCCGACGATTTAGGTCTCAACTAAGTGACGAAAGCGGGACACTGACTTGGATGTTCTGCAGAGCAAGGTTTTCCGCATTCGACCCCCCTTGCGAGCGGAATTGAGGACGGACCCCAGTTACAAAGCCAAATAGTTGTCGAACAGCTCTGACAACGGAATCCATATTCAGATCAATGTGGTAGCTGTAGATGGATTTAGCCTGCTTGGATTAAAGCATAAGGTACTTGTTCTACCTCCCAATAGCCTCAGCAAGCTGTTTGGCCCGTCGACGAGTCTCTACGCTTGAGTTTTCAGTGCCCATGTAACATGTATGAAATATCCTGTTGGCGAATTCTTTCGGGTCGGTTGGCAAGTAGTCTGAGTCTTCCGGATCTCCAGCAATACGCCGGGCATCGGCAATGATCTGTGTCTCTGCTAATGGTCAGAGCGTGAATACCGTCTAGATTAGAGAAACCTGCCTCCCTTAGACGCAGCCTGAGCGACAAGGCGGCACATAGAGTGAACGATGACAGCCGTTGCGCAGCTGTCCACACCTCCGCTGAGCGGTATGAAATACCCTTGAGTACGCGACCGTCGGAGATAATCCCACAGCCAGCAGGCTGGCCCCAAGCTGACGAAACTAAGACATCAACGAAACAAAGATGACTAACCACGTACGCAATTTCTTCTTCAGGCGAATGATACCTGACGGGGATCATTTTACTCCCAATGAGGCCTACCATATCTTCTTCCCGCACCTCTTCAAATTTGCCACTGGTGAGAGCAAAGTCGACTTCGACCCTATGATATCTCTGTGCAGAGGCTGCTTGCATGCTTCTGCTGGAAACAGCCCTGTGGGCACGAACGTCCTCGATGTCGATTGTGGCACTGACAACTTCCACGTCCGAGAGAGAAAATTGGGAGCCTTGGGCGACCATTCGCCCATTGACGGCGATCATTGCACAGCCATCATAGTATAGACGGTCTCCGTCGCAGCCCTGCTGATTGGCATACAAGTATATACCACCCAACTATGGAAAAAGATTAACTCAGGTCATCTGGGTGAGGCGAAGCACCTTACCTTCAAAGTCGCCTCTTTGATCAATTCTACCCGTCGATAAAGTTTTCGGAGCTCATGGTGACTGCCGCTGGAATTTGTGAAGATCTCCACTCCGTCGAGTCCCATGAGAATGTGAGGACTAGCAGGAGTGAAGAGCTCCTCGCAGAGTTCGACACCAATGCAAGTGTCGGTAGTGCTGACGACTGCATCTCCAAAAGGTACTTTGATCTATTCTACATCAGTTCGAGTATTGTCCAATTCCCGATTTCTAGGCTTGCCTGTTTGGTCACAGCTTGGACAATACGTGGAAGGTAATGTTCTTCCCACTGCCGATGCTTCGTCCAGGGGGTAAAGTAGCGCAGCTCGCGATAATTTCCGTCGTTTGCTAGCCACATCTTTGGGCGAATAAGCAGTATCTTCTTATTGTGAATGATGATTCGACAATTGTAAATGACGTTCTTGTGAACCACAGGCCTGAAGTGGTGTCAGCGTAAAGCAAAAGAACAGCATCGCGCCTTACATCCCAAGGTCGCATACAATGCCCATCGTTTCGTCGGAGGATAATATTTTGGCTAGCACCTCCCATGAATGAAGAACAGTGTCGCCTGTGGAGGACGTGACCTTAACAAAAATGCAAATCAAGTGACCTCCAACTTGGATAAGCACCTTCCAAAAAGTGGTCCAGACAGCCATAACCGCTTAAAATTGGGGTTAATTAGCAGCGCTGGGCGAAAGGCTGCAGAGACTCACGGTATTTCGAGCTCTGGTCCAACACGAAGGGTTGCTCCTCTGCTTTTCGCAATGACGATGCTCTCCATGATTCTTTCATAGTTTCCCTGCGAAGAATATTCAATATACGCGCTCCAGTACAAATAAGAGTTTGATTAACTTGGAAATCGAGTGCCCATTGGTTTAGAGAACTGGTATGGAGATTAAGTGCGGCTTGTCAACCAAGTCGTCGAAGCAGTTACCAGCTAACGCAAATATGTCAGATCAACGAAGGCAAAGTGCAATGAAAGACTGTACGTGGCCAACGTAATTAGGTGGCCCATGGCGGAAGACTTCTAGGCACCTCTTCCCAGTGGATAGTGACACGGAGTTGCTTGAAGGAAGTGCCATTGATTGTGTGGCTTATCGGTGATCGGCAGGTGCCGGAATTGGCTACATTGTACAAGTTGGCTATAAGTGCGTCACTTCACTGTTTTAAATAGTGCGCACTTGGGCAGCTCAGAGAACTACCACTATAAAATCCCTCATGGCCCCAGTCCCCGACTCTGTCCATCGCATGTCCACGGAATTACCAGATCTTGTCATGCTAGGGATTTAAGTTCTTTTTAACTTAGCTTGACTTAGGTATTCAGGTTTATAATTTGTCTACAGTCCCAGCCAGCTACCCTACACATCGAGCGGGCGGGCCTCACTAATTAATCAGAGGCCAATTTTCACAACCTGGAATCCTGCATTGTAAATGTAGCATCGGCTAGGCCTAGGACAGTCCAAGTGACCTGCCGTAGATACGCAAATGGTAAATACTTGCACAAATTACATAAACAGCAATGGGAAAAGTAGGGATGATGTGCTGTGTAGGGTGAAGGATTGCCGGTTGGAGTATTTCATTTAACCCGGACGTCGTTCGGATTGACTTCGAATGTCGTGAAAAGGGGCGGCTAGAATTTAATCCTCTAAGCTCTTCAGAGGATCTCAAAGGTGCGAATGGTTGTCTGATTGAAATATTTCCAATCCACAAATCGCACCTATGCCGTTACAGACACGGGGAGCGCCAATTTTCCCAGAGAAATCCTAGACAAGGTGCGAGGGGCTGTTGGAACCTGAGAGGAAAAGATCTGCAAGTGTCAGCCTGAAGAGAGGGGAAGTGACGTAGGTTGCCCTTAGGGCGCCGTGTGAACTCACCCTCGGTTATTTGCCATCTAGGACTGAGTGAGGTGAGGTGTAACCGCGGGATGGCTTCAAACGCAACGAGGACATGTTCCATTTTCCTGAGGACGAGTTTCAAGAGATGAGGGCACCTCAATCTTATCTTGATCTTACCTTTCGAATTTCATCTGCTCGGGAGTTGACGGAGCACCTTTATTCTCACACGTCTGTTTTTTGGCAGACGGGCGTCCCCTGTCCGAAGGACAGAGCCGGGGTGAGGCGCAACCGTACACCTGATCACGAACGACAGTTGAAAAGATGATTCAAGGATGTGAAAGAATTTCATTGTCTGGCTCTATGTATTATTCTATCTATGAAGCCGATTGGGAGCCAAAGGAAATGATGTATTGCGACAGGAGCAGTCTTAAGTATGCAGGATCGAAAGCAGGGACAGGGATGCAGGTGATACAAAAAGGGTATGGATACATGAGGTGAAGTTTAGACCGGGGTATTCGTATAGGACGGAGGTGCTATTTGGGTGATTACCACATGCTGAGGCGTCAAGAAGCAATCAACTCACCAGGCGAACGAGCCCCGTTTTTCAGGACAGATAACAAAGAGTTCCTCTCATCGTCAGAGAAGTTATCTGCCAGGCGCATGATACCGTCAAAAGTCGCTTTACGGTCCTCTTTCGTCAACTGGATGAGTTGACGCAAGAGATGGTTGGCCTTCAGCTGAGCGACAGTCTGAGAGAGGTCCAACTTCTCGAGAGCCTCGGCAACTTGACGATGGTCGGTTGTTGCCTCGATGGCAGCAAGAGAGTTGAGGAGACGGGTGCGATACTCATATGTTGAATCAGGGGTAGCTTCTGCAAGGCGGGCAATGGCCGCTGAGCGAGCAACACGAGCGCGAACAGCCCAGTAGAAGTGGCGTCTGGCGTTCTTCCAGACTGCTGCCTTGGCGCAACCTTTAGCTTCCATACGCCCGGTACGACTGCAGACAATGAGTAAGGGAAGAAACATAGAGAGAAGCGGACCACTCACTCATGAAGATCGGCGTACAACAGGGCGATTTGTTTGTATGTCGGCTGCAAAAGGGTTTCTCGTTCCGCGGCGGCGGTGGTTGCAGCGGCACGTTCCTCAGCAGACTTCGAAGCATCCTTGATGTCGCGCTTGAGTGTCGCGTAAGTCGAATCCAACCTCTCCATCAGGCTCAAAATTTTGTCGCGGCGCATCTTGATCTCGACGATTCCCTCGGGCTCAAGGACGCCTGCGCGAGCATCGACGTCGGCATACATCTCCATCTGTTCGACATTAATGGAAGGATCCAGCACAACCCAGGCGCCGCCGCGGAGCTCGCCGTTGGGGACGATATAGACGAAAACAGGCTGCTTGTAGCTCGAAAGGCCGTCGACGATCTTGGAACCTTGCTTCAAGATTTCGTCGTACATGTCTTGCTGACCTCCTGAGAATCCACGCCAATTAGCGAATATGATCAGCGGCAAGCCTTCACGGTTGAAGTCGAAGATGGCCTGAGCGGTCTTGTAGGCGGAGTTGGGGTACCAGACTTGACCTGCTTCCATGATGCGCTGCTCAAAGGATGCCGGGTTGGCAGGATCCGCAGGCACGACGCGTTCGATGGTACGGGTTTCAACGGCAATGACACCCATGGGAATACCACCGAGGCGAGCACGTCCAACAACAACGGTTTGAGCCCAGCCGCTGAGTGTCTCCTGGAAGGAACCCTTGTCGAAGAAACCACCCAACCACTCGGGCGAGGCTTCGTCAGTCTTGCCTTCAATGAACCAGCGAGGATCGTAAGGGCCCTTGGGCGGGACATAGTCGATGTCCCGATCCCAAGTATCGGAAGTAAGTCGGACTGGTAACGCGCCATTTTTGACCCCTGGAACGTACGCGAGCCATTCAAGGATCTGGGTGGCGCCTTGCAAGTCGCTGCTGGCCGTTAAATGAGAGACGCCGTTCTTGAACATAATCTGTGTGCCACCGAGCTGCAGATTGGACGTGTAGACCTCTCGCCCGAGAACCTTGTTGAGGGCCGGGGCGCCGGTGAGGATGATTGGTTGTCCTTCGACCTGGACGGCTCTTTCTCCGAGGCGGACAAGATACGCGCCGATTCCGACAGATCGAGCAGTGACGAGGGTGATGGTGAAGATATCGTCGTATGCTCTGGAGGTCTCTCCAGCGATGAGACCAGACCCTTTAAGGCACTCGACACCTAGTCCGTCCTGAAGACCTATAACGTCGGTGATCTTGTAGCGATGCTCGCCCTCCTCCTCAACTTCGACAGTACGGACAGAATCAGGGCTTTTCTCCTTGAGCTTGAGCTGGTTCTCGTGGGTGAGGTAAAGGTACTTGATTCCTTTTTCAGGGTGCGCAGTGTCGTTCCAGGCGACAGAAAACAGAGGGATCGCCTCCTCCGCCAAACCAATCCTGGCTCCAGAGTTCGCTGACAGGTATATGCGCGGCAAACCCAAGTTGCGGGCGTATTGCGTGACCTGGAAAAAAAATTGATCCTCCTGTGGGCCGAAGGAGCCAATCTTGTAGGTTATGTCGTTAGCGACGACGACAGCTTTGCGGCCGTTCGGGAACTCTGGTGTCCTCAGGGTGAATACCCAACCCACCATACCACAAGCGTTATTGCCTGGCGCTCTATCAACTTCCGCGAGCTGGTCGTGCTCGTCGAGAACAAGCTCCTTGGACTCAACAAACACTTTGGGCAGAACCAACGACGGGTCTGTCTTACGAGCCTTGACCCAAACGTTGTGCAAAGCCTTCGAGAAGAGATCGGGGAAGTCGTATACGTAGGTTGTGCCAATAAGATGGGCTTGGTAACGTTTGGGTTGAAGCGACTCCTTCGTGGGATAAGCCTGGTGGACTGGCTGCAAGTGTAGAGGTCCCTTATCGCCGATGGACTTGAGGATGGTAGTGCCCTTGTCTGTCGTGATCTCCTGATAACCGTGATAGTTGACAATAAATCCAGAGACGTTCTCGATGATGCAGCGGATTGGTGTCACGTTCCCTTCGCCGTCTTCCAAAACGATGCGGATTTCAGACCCAGTGACGTGAAGGCGCCACAAGCGCTTGCCATGACGTTCGATAAACCCAGAAATGGCGGCAAGAACGTCTTCATATTCCACAGGGAGGTTGTAGACGAAGTTCATAAAGATATGGTTACAATCGGCGTTGCGGTGCTGTGCGCTGACGATTTCGAGGGCGTCAAGAACGCTGGTGACAAGACGGTCCGTCTCAGAGATGAGATATTCCGCCATGCTCATCGACCCGCGAAGGCGGCCTGGACGAACAAGAGCCCGAATGAAGAAGCGATTATCTAGTTGATTTTCGCGCGCGATGGCATGGTAGATATGGATTTGCTTAGCTTCGACGAAGCATGGTTTAAGGTTGTAATTCGAAAGGCGACTCAACTCGAGCTGGAAGGCAAGCGCGGGTTCGATGTTACGAATGGCCTGCTCTTCGTTCCAAACGCCACCGAAGTCACGAAGGGTGAAGTAGACAGGGTATTGTCCGCGTCGGCAGAGCATGATGGATACCCGACGGACACCACGGCGCGCTAGAATATCGGTGTGATTGTTGACGAAGGAGAGCACCTCCTTGTTCCAGTCGCTTTCCGACTTATCATCCTCTTCTTGGAAGATACGAAGGGCAATGTTGACGACGTTTGGAGGTTCGCTGTTAGCTCCATATCGTTCGGAGAACTCAACGGCGTCAAACGCGGGCAACATGGATACGACTTTCGGGAATCCTTTCGCAAGCGCAGCGACATTGGAAAACGAAGCGATTGCTCCGGTACGAACGGGTTGCAACTGATGGCGGTTGATCATGTACGTCAGGTCGCTAACGGATGCAGACCGGCGAGGAGACTCCCTGAAGGGGAATGAGGTGAGACCATGGTGCTGGAAGGCGCGAAAATCACGTACCCGATTGTCAGGCGAGGTGTGTCAGGAGGAGAATGAGACTGCCCAAGATTGAATCGCCATGTCACCACGGTGGGTACTTCCCCATCGTCCAACGTATCTCCCTCTTCATAGTCGATCGACAGGAGAGTGTACGCCTTATACGCTCGCCTGACATACACCTCGAATGCCGCTGCAACGTTCTTGTGAATGAGAAAAAAAAAGGTATCAAGAAGGAACACCTGGCGTACCAAGTCGGACCATAGCATCTTCGTGATTGAAGAAAGCAGGGAGAACGTCAAAGACAGTATATCGCGAATCACTAAGCTCTTTGAGAACTTCTGCGGAAGGCGTCCTGTATGGGTGTTGAAGACTATGCAGGGGTAAGAACGCATAGCAGCACTCACCTTGGGCCAAGGACCGATTCGCCATAATAGTTATTCGACACGGAATTCTTGAGAACGCCCTCCATCTGGATCAGACGCTCCTCGTATGAAGGCATCTGGCCAAGAATAAGAACTTCCCGAGCCTTCAGCGACACAGATGTTGAGGATCTGGTCAAGGGAATTAGGACAAGAAGCGGCTCGGGAATTCTGAAAGACTTACTTGCCCTCCAGACCCGCGAGGCCTTGCAAAACTTTGCAAAGTCTGCCTTCTGGATTGGAGACGTTGAGGGGGCTGGTCTTGACGTACTCGAGGAGCGCGAGAATAAGTTTCGCCTTGCTCTGAACTTTGATGTGACTGAGGACCAAACTAATGGCCATGTCGAGGTCGTCCTTATATTGCTCGCGGAGAGCAAGTACCCTGGCTTCAATGCTGCCACCGAAAAGTTTCTCGGTTGCTTCATAGCGTTCCAAAAGATTTGCAATTGTATCTGTCTCGTGGCCTTTGAGACCACTGAGGTATCGGTCGAGAACGTCGTACAATGCGGTGATCTTGGTCCTGAACATCGCGCGGTCCTGCGGAAGGATATTGTCCTGACTGTAGTGGTCGATCAATTTCTTCACGCGAACAGCAGGGAACTCGGTATTGGGACCCTTGGCTTTAGCTATATCCATAGCTAAACGGATGCTGTCTTCCAACTTCGAAGGAATGCGGCCTGAAAGGGAGGAGAGGATGGCGCCGACTTCGGAGTACGGAAGTTGGGGGTCGTGGAGAACCTCGATGAACTCCTTAAGAGTAGAGTTCATGACCGACTGGTTGTCGAAACCGTCCAGTATGTCGTTTAGGACGCCCAAGCAACGGTTAAACTGCTGGTGAGACTTATTGCCCACAACCCCAGGCGCGCCCATGGATGGTAGAAGACCCTCGAAAGGCTTCGCGTGCTTCACACGAGCAGGATCGTCGAGCGTCAGAATGCCGAGGATGTCTCCAGGTTCCAGGCTGACACCGGGTTGCTTGATGAGCTGAACGATCCCATCTTCCGAGGCCACCAATGGCATGTACATTTTCATGACCTAGTGCATAACATAAAAAAGTGAGAAGTGGGAGATAGACGGATAGAGGGGATGAGCGTCCATACCTCAATTTCCGCGTACTGATCACCAGCCTTGACATGGTCTCCGCTGTCGACAAGGTATCGTACTAGTTTACCGGGGCTAGGGCTCCTGAGTTGAGTCGGGTCGTTCTCTTGCTCGATCAAACAGGTCTTGGCGTCGACCATCAGTCTGAGTGCGCCGACTTCCTCTCTCCAATAGATCGAGTGACTCTTGCCATCGAGGAGAACGAGTAGACCTCCGTCAGCAAGAGGACGAGCGCCGACCATAACGCTACCTCCGTTGAGGTACAGCGTCCAAACTGTCGAAGAAGATCGGGTGGCGGTAAACGAATAGCGTACATTTTCGTAAATGAAGTCAATGCCGAATACTGTACGAAGAACGTCCCGCCCTGGGACTTGACCTTTATCAAGGATGCGTTTGTACTCCATCCAGCATGCCTCAGAGGCCAGATACGCCTTGGTAACTGCACCGCAAACCACAGCAAGCGTAGCATCAGGTCGCTCAGCCGTTAGTTTACTGCTGATCAAAGAATCGAGCCATCCAGTGGTGATGGTGTTCTCCTTGAAGGCTTCAAGCTCCAAGAGCTTGATGAGGTATTCGACGGTCGTCCTGAAGTCTCCTCTGATACTCAACTCCTTCAAGGCGACAATCATGTTCTTGCGGCTCTCGCTTCTGTCTTCGCCGTAGGCGAAGATGTGACCAAACTGAGAATCGGCGAACTCGTGAAGACCACCCGCAGTGCTGACGGAGAAATATCCCCAAACGTTTGTGCTTGAACGGAAATTGAGCTCCTGAAGGGATCCGGATGATGGCTTGAACCCGGCGTCCGGGTTTTCTGCGGTGATACGAACGGCAACGACGTGGCCTTTGGGGCGAGGTTTGCGTTGGAGTTGATTGGCGTCAGGTTTGGTCATATCGAAGTCAATCTCTGAAGTGCCATTTGGAGCAACGCCGTAGAGCTGGCGAATATCTCGGATACGGTGAAGGGGGATACCCATGGCAACTTGAAGTTGGGCAGCTGGAAGGTTAACACCTGAGACCATTTCCGTTGTGGGATGCTCGACTTGAAGACGGGGATTTAGCTCCAAGAAATAGAAGTAGTCTTCGGCGTGACTGTAGAGGTCTTGAAATATTTGAGTGAGAGGAAGCTTTACAAGGGCAAGAAAATGATTACTTACATTCGACCGTACCAGCACTGACATATCCAACAAGCTTGGAGAGACGGACAGCAGCCCGCTCCATCTGCTCGAAGGTATCTTCTTTCGCAATAGTAACAGGAGCTTCCTCGATGATTTTTTGGTGCCGACGTTGGACGGAGCAGTCGCGTCCAAAAAGGGAGATGGCATTGCCATATTGGTCGGCCAAAAGCTGGACTTCCAAGTGTCGAGCCTGACCGGCGAGTTTCATGATGAAGATTGGCGATCCTGGAGGCGAAATGAGAAGAACCATCACGGCTACGAATAAAAGACGTACCCGGTATTTCTCCCGCCACAGCATGGTAGGCATTCTTGAAAGCATCTGGATGTTCAACCTTTCGAATTCCCTTGCCTCCTCCGCCCTCGCTGGCCTTGATCATCACCGGCCATCCAATCTGCTCCGCCTTTGCTAACCCTTCTTCGACCGTGGTAACACAGGCGTCCATGTACGCCTTGTCGGGTACCGTCACATAGCCGGCCTCAGAAAGGACGGTTTCCGTGATGCCTGTTCCCGACCACGGCATCGTTGGAACATCAGCGCTTTGTGCCACGATTGTGCTTGAAATCTTGTCTCCTAAGCTACGCATTGCGCTTCCCGGAGGACCGATGAAGATGATTTTGTGCTTGCTTGCAGCGAGACCTTCTGGGAGCCGGGGGTTCTCTGACGCGTGTCCCCACCCCGCCCAAACGGCGTGTACTCCTGCACGTTCTGCGACGTCGATGATGAGGTCTACATTGGCGTAATTGTTGTTGTTGGAGCCGCCAGGAACTTCAATGTAACGGTCGGCCATGCGAATGTATTCAGCGTTGACCTTGAGGTCTTCAGGAGTCGCCATGACAGTGAATTCGACTGCACGTTCCATTCCGAACGTCTCGTAACTCCATTGTCGGATGGAACGGATTTCCTTCACGGCAGCAATACCTACAAAGAAAGGTCAGACAAGCGCAAAGGACACCGTGAAAACGCGTACCATTGTTGGCAATGAGGACCTATTTGGACGCGATGATGAGATTGACAGGCATATATTTAGAGAAAAGACGACAGGCCTTCGTAATAACAGTGTGGCCACCTTGAGTTTTAACGAAATCGTGAACGACACTAGGCGGGGCATGTTCCAGGGAGTTGCCTCCTGCAGACCGGGAACGGTGAGCAAAATGAAGTCAGGCACGCCAAGAACACGCGGGGTTACCTATAAAGTGATGGACTCTGGAGTGGTCGTACGCCGACATGGCTAGCTCGATGCGGCGGACGATGAGCAAGCAGTCTTGGGGAACGCAAGCTGGGGTGAGAGAGAAAGAGTGACGTTGGGCGGAGGAATGGTTTTAAGCCGAGGAGCACTTCTGGGGACGATCGAAACTGTCCCCAAAGTTCTGTGATCCTGATTACGTCAGCTCCACTTGCCTCAGGGTCAAGGATGGTCAAGGTGACAGTCCTGCCTTACTTCGGGCTGCCTGTACGGAGCACAAGAGACTCTGAGCAGACGCGGGACACCCGGAGCTGCCATATCTCCATCGCAATATCGAAGCTGTCGAGCATCTGAGCACGAGCACCCCAACTGAAAGCCATACTGCTTGAAGGCGCACTCATTTCGCACGGCCCTGACGCTTGGTGTCGATAAGGCGCGACAGCCCACACGCTCTTGCGAAACGCACTCTTCGGACCAGGAGCACCTATGCGGAGCAGCTCCATCTATTGCCAGCGGTGTGCATTGTGGAAGGCGGGATCCACCGTTAGAAGCCTAATTGTGAGAATGCCCCGCAGAAAGTCGCGGTCCAAACTCTCAGACATCGGAACGCTGCCAGTCTAATGCTCCCATCTTATTATACCTGAGAAATGGGCTTGGCGCGTCATTCTTCCTTTCTTGTGGAAGCCCGGTGTGTATCAGCGAAGAGTTCGTAGAGCACTCCTTCGGTCTACTCCGGGTGAAAACGTTGTTCGATAATAAGAGTACATGCATTCTTGATACGAAATGTCCAATCATGTTCAGCGGCTGACCATTGTCCTTCCACTGCATTGAGATAACCAGATTAGTACCAAGAAATTGATGACAAGCGGACTCGCTGACCTGGCCGTTTTCCTTTCTGTCGTTGCCACTTCCGTCTTCGCCCTGTTGAGGACCTTCTGGAACTCAGTGACGCGATGTCGCATCCTGGAGTGCATGTATGCCTTTGAGCACTTGATGTGGTAGTGCAAGTAATCGCGGAACAGTTGAATATGCGAAATAGTAGCCGCTTGAACAGACGGGTTGGCGAAGTGGCGAGGGAATAGAACGAAGGTAACATAGCCAATATCTTCGCTGTTTCGAAGGCCAGGAACATGACGAATTTCCAAGGGAGGATCACGGTTTGAATACAAAACTTGCGGTGCGTTTTGGATGGAAGGTTGGCGCCTGGCATCGACGAATTCCTGGAAGCTGCGTCGGAATGAATTCAAGCTGCGGCGTGAACAAGACGTACCTGTAAGAACACTTTGCCGAAAATCCTATCTGTCTCTTCTCTGAAGACAGTAGAAAATATTACAGTGACACGATCAGGTGCCGCCTGGATGAACATCGCCTCTTCATCTCGGTAGTGAACCTGCATCAGTTCTCCTTGTCCTCCTGAAGACTCCAATCGCTTCTGAGTTGCAAATCCGCGTTCAAAGGGTGCCGCAAGAGCATTACGCTTAAGCAATGAAAGTGATGTTACAAAGGCCTCCCGAGATTCTACCCACAAATCAATATGACTGTAGAAAACAGCAAAAGCGATCCACTCACCTGCATCACTTGGAACCTGCTCAAGATCGATCACCAAGCTGACATTGTAATCTGGCTCGACCTGGCTCGACAAGAGACTCCCGTATTCTCGCTTCAAGACCTCAAGGGCTCCATGTTGCACAAGTTCATCCCAGCACCGGATGTTCATCGAAAGGAGGAGGGAGGTCTTGCGTTCCGGGGTGGACAGATGAAATCGAACATTGTCGTAGTCAACGAAGACGACATCCACGTTCCCTGGTCTTCTACATATTAGTTTGGAGTGAGAAAGGTACACCTGTGAGCCTTACTTCTGCAGTTTCTCCAAGATGGTTGTTTGTATGATGACATTGTGCGGCTGCGCGGAGATAGTGAGCGCAAGCTAATGATAATCGCCTTTCTCCCTACCTCAAGAAGAATCATGGCGCTAAGCTTTCTGAGTACACAAGTAGGTTAGAACAATCGAATTCGCGGAGCAGCCCAGCAGGAGAGAGTGGGTTAAGAGCAATGATCTCGAAGATGTCACGGTCGGCTTGTGATGATGAGTTTGGTTTTGAGAAACACTCCCAATTTACGTGCATAGTAACCCGATCTTCTCCAACCCCACGCCTGGCCAACATCATACTCAGATGATATTCTACAATTGACACATACATAGCAAGGATACAGACGGAACCCAACAGCTGCAGGTAAACGTCTAGTCTGATGGTAAAGTGGACCTCTCAACTGTAGTATGATACGAAGGTGCAGACGAAATTATAGACCCTCTCGACGCAGCATGAGCATTTCTAGGTCTAGAACCCACGACTTTGCCACTAGCGGATTGCAGAGGGAATGGAGGAGGAGGAGCGGTTCCATCGACCCCTGCCTTAAAATGACCAGCAGCCAGGATTGTTGGAGCCGAGTGGAATGAGATGTAGGACCCGTCCGTGAAAGGTGTAAACCCGGCGTAAGGTTGTTCGAGGGCACCTTCCATCTGCTTCTTCATGTGCCGACGTCTCCAGATGAAAAGGCCTATGATTATTGCAAGCAGAAGCACGACACCGGCGACGCTGACCCCTACGATTAGGCCAACAGGCGGGGTTCGTGCGGTCGCGACGGAAGTATTACTGAACGAAAATTAGAATTAGCTTTAGCAGTAGTTTTAAGAATTCCCCAACCTCTGACTTGGGGTGGTGGTTGGAGTTGAAGGCTAGAAATATAGAACGGATAGATGTTGAATGAGAGGAGGCCATAGTCAACTCCGGGGATTCTTACTGTGGGGGATGTGGAAGATGAGCTTGTGTTGAGCGAGGAGCCGTTGTTGGCTGGCTCTACAAAGAACTGCAAAGGTTTGATCAAAAAATCGCAGAACAAGAAGAAACGTCGTGCACAGACATAAACTATGTCATCGACAGCTCCACGCTGATTCACAGGACTCAAGACGGGCTGATGGTTGGCAGCGGAAACTATGGAGGACAGTCGATAGACTCCCGCAGGCAGACCGCCAGTAATCTCCGTCGTTAGTTGGTTGTTGACTGCAGCTGAGATGAGGCTTTTGAAGAAAACAAAATTCCGGGGATCCGTCGGCGAGGCTTGATTTATGGAGGACATTTGCTCTATCACGATGGAACTGTATCCTAGAATCAACCCGTCAGGGCTGAGTAGCTGTGGTGCCGCGAGGAAGTTGGTCGCAGGATTGACAAAAAGCCCAGTTACAAGATTACCGACTGCGAGAGTGACCGTGAACGGCGTGTTTTCCGTTACTGTCGCATTGAACACCGGGAATATGAAACGCGCAGATGGCTGGGTGGGTACTCAGCGGTCGATCTCCAATTATAGAATGAACTCACCATGCTTTGAGTAGAAGGAAGGAGACCCATTGGCGCGGGGTTGCAGGACGTAGTAGGCAGTTGTTGCCCATTTGTAATGGGAACTCCGGGCAAGGTTGCGCAATAATTGATAAAATTATTGTTCGAAGTTAAGGACGGACTTTGTCCTTCAAAGATCGTGATGACCAAAGGAGTCAGGAAACAGCTTAGAAGTGAACATACCCTGCTGAGGCGTACTTTGCCCGTCATCTGAAAAGCCTGGACAGACTAAGTCGGAATTTAATGTCCTGGATGTCTGATCTGGACTGTTTCCCTGTCTTTTGAAATGCCTCCTCCGCTCTGGAAGACTTGGCGAAAAGTCTCTCTGACTCCAATCATTCGGTTCTCGGGATGCCCTTGAGTTACCGGCGACTGTGAACTAGAAAATCGGCTGTATGAGTTATAATAACTAAACAGGCAAACGGTGACCACATACATAAACAGCGTCGTTGAGAGATCCGTGCTGGTGCATAGGAACGAGAACTGGCTGATGGTTGGCAGCGTGCACTGTTGCAGTCGCTCGGTAGAATCCCGCAGGTAGGCCATTCCTAACAACTGACGCCACAGTGGGGTCTAACAGAAGTTGGAAAAAAGTGAAAATGCGAGGATTCGTCAAAGTTGGTTGATCGATGGACGTTATTTCTTCGATTACGAGATGGTAATTCCCTCTGACGCTGCCGCTGGAGAGCTGTTGAGGGGCAGAAAAGAAGTTCGTTTGAGAATTGACAGAAACTCCAGTTATAACGTTTCGGGTGTTTATGGCTAATGAAAAGCTGGTATTCTCCTCGATGATGTCTCCATTTCTAGGCGCGGTGAATTTGGCGGAGGGTATTGAATCGGGAGGGGGTATATGGCCCATGGGGGCGGGGTTACAAGAACCAGATGTCACTTGCTTCCCATCGGTCAAGGGGATGGAGACAGTCGAGCAAAAATTGATGAAGTTATTCGTGGAGGTTAATGAAGCAACCTGACCTATTGCAAAGGGGATGAGTCCTGACAGAGAAACGCCATGCCATTTCCCTACCTGGTGCAGGTGTATCTTGACCATCCAACGCGAAACCGGGGGCAACGACAGACGAAAGGAGTGTACTGGAGGATTGTGGATCCTGTCGAGGAAGTACGAGATCTGGGCGGGATTCGGATGCTGCAGTAAGTGGGGAGTGACCACTGGCACGATCCTGGCCCATAGTTAAATCAAGCTGAGTCTGGGCAGAGAACGTAAAGAGAAGATTGGGAGGGAGAAAACCACAAGTCCTCGATCTTCATGCTTCAAGCTTCATGCTTCAAGCTTAGCTTCATTGACAGGCTGGTCTTTGACATCTTCTCGGGTTGAGCGGTCGAAATATTAGCCAATTGTCGAGCTCATCATGCATCGGGTCACCGTCTGTCGCTAGCTTAGCGACCGCGACAAGAGAGCGCTCGACGAGCAAGATCACTAAAAATACTGGATCCACGTTCATTGGATGATGTTCTGTCATGACCATTGAAAGGAAGAACTTGGGAAGAACAAGGTACCTTGCGTTCTGGTGAAATCTAACGTCAACGTACGATCGTAACAGCCTTGTCCGTTCAACGAGTGTCGAGATGCTAGGGCATTGAATATTGAATGATGGAGACCAGCAAGATAAGAATAGCCAAGTCGAATGGCCAAGTCCAAGGCTTATGTACATAGGTCGTGTTACTAGAACACGGTTGGACTATCCGACCCACACTGCTGGCAAGTCCCCCTGTTAGTTCGTAGAGAATGTCACCTTGCTGAACGAAGTGAAGAAGGTCCCACAGGTTCGAAATTCACCATATATGGGCATGTTTTGCCTTTGGTTTCCTCGCCGTAAACAAATACTCTGCTATCTTAGTCGGGCCAAACCCTTTGCTTGTGCTTGGCATAGCCTTCTGTGTGCCCTTCGACCAAATACAGTAATTCACTGCCTTCTTGTACAGCAAAAATGAAAATGCCCTCTACTGTTCGTCATAGATGAAACTCTTGTTCATTTCTGTATATATGAGCTGCCTATATGTCGAAACTAGGTCGGTGTGCGATTTGAACGCCGTCGGGTGAGAAATGGACACGCTGTCAGTAAATCCGTGCCGGGGTACCCTTTTTGGGCAAAACCGGGCAGTTGTACAGTGTCACGCCGTTGCCGGTGGCTGTGTCACGCAGCTCAGTTATCTTCGGTCCGATGCGATCAATCGATAAACACTTGTTCTATTCTTCGTCTATCGTACCGTCGCCACCCACATCCTCCTCAGGATCCTCCTCAGGATCTTTCCGTGCCTTCTTGGTTGGGGGTTTTACCCGGGTCTCCTTGTAATTCGAACGCAAAGGCTTTGGATGGGCTTTGTCCCAAACCTTCAGCTTGCGGCCCGCCTCCTTCGCTGCTACTCGTGCTGCTGTCCACTTGTTTGCATCCTCCTGAAACTGGCGATACAGTGCCGCATTCCTAGCCTCCCGACCATCCTCATGTGCCTGCCACGCTGCCATCCGCTCCTCGTATTCAAGCTGCTGGGCAGCCCTCTCCTCCTTGTCGCGCGCCTCCTTCGCCTTCGCATCCTCGTGCTCCTTGACGGCTCGAATCACGGCGGAATGTGTCATCAAACGAGGTAAGCCGTCTCGTAGAATACCTCCTCGCCCCTTCTTCTTCCTCTCTGCCTTTCCTTCCTTCGCTTGAAGCTGACGACGCAGTTTGTTGCAGTATAATCGCTGCAACACGAGCATGGATTGCATACGGATCGCCTGCTCCTTGTAGTAATCTGCTGCCGCTGCTTTCGCAATGAGAGCCTCCTGCATGGCGTCCTCGTCGGGTGTGGATGTCGTCTTTGTTGTGAGGTATGTGACATCTTGCCTTGACATTGACGGTTTGGTAATGCGACGTTTCATAGGCGAGATGAGAACATTCGGCAGATCGGGTGGGATAGGCGTTTGTGAGAAGAGAAAGCCGCAATCAGAGTTGGCAAGTTCTTCGAGGGCGGCTCGGATGGGAAAGGTGTCAAGCCGTGGGTGGGCAGGTTCATCATTTACAGGTTCTTGTTCCTCCCCTTCTCCCTCCTCACCCGTTTCATGACCAGCCTCACCACCCCCCTCCTCAACATCATCTACCTCCTCATCAGCACCATCCTCCACCTCCTTGTCCTGCTCTCCATCCGCCACTGCTTCTTCCTCCTCTTCACCCGCTTCATATTCCTCATCACCTCTCTCGTCAACCGCATCCCCACTGGCTCCCTCATCCTCACCTTCGGAATCTGTATCCGAATCATTGTTTGGAGACGACGTGATGAAGATAGGCTGGAGGGTGTCAATGATCAGCTCCGTCATGATGCGGACAGCAGCCGGTGGCTCGACTGGGGTGTAATGCCGAAACGAGGTGTCGCGGCTGGGAGCGAGCTTATCGGCGGAGATCACGTCGCGGTTAAAAGGTATGATTCCTGTCTTCGAGAACGCCTTCTTGATTAACTCCGGTTGTAGTATCGCAAGATGGGTGTCACCATAAACCTTCAGGAAGTTCTCTTTTGAGATCTCCTGGCCCGTCTCTCGAAAGAGTTTGTCACGGTTCTCACCGAACCTTTGCTTCATCGGGCTGAATATCACGACATCCAGACCTTGGTAAATGTGAGTTGTATGGGCAGGATAGCACAAGACATGGATCTTATGCGCCTTGCAGAACATCAAGAACCCACGAGTGACATGTGAACCATGTCCGTCGACGTAGAGGACTCGCCACCTGCCACCCGCCTTCTCACGAGTCATTCGCTCAAAGTGCTTTGCGTACTCAATGCCGATCTCGTTATCCGTCCAGCCCTTCTTCGAGTATCCCAGCCTTGTCGCAGTAAGTACATGATATGATCCAAAAGGTTATCATTACTCACATTGCTTCTGCAGGGTTATCTTGCTTCCACCGAACCGCAAAGCCCTTTCCAGAAAACAAAACGGCTGGAGGTATGGCAGTCCCATCCGCGCAGATATTGACAATGACAGTCGTTGTCTCCCTCGTTCCAGCTTGCTGCTGGTACTGGACGTTCTTGCCCACTCCGCCAATCACCCGCTCTTCTCCCTCATCACCGTTAGCCTGAAAACCTGCCTCATCCAGCGCGTACGTGTTCTCAGGTGCAATTGCGTTGCCCTCATCTCCATGCAGCTGGATGTTCTCAACGAGATCACACCAGGCCTTATGGTTTTCTGGGTTCGCAGCTTTCCCTCGGACATCATGGAGTGGCCGAGTCCGGTATACGTGAAGGCGTTCGTGATGCCGCTCAACAAAGCGGTGGGACCAGTGCTTCCCAAGACCAGGAAAGGAGGTGCCATAATGCGCTCGGCAGAGCTCTATGACGTGCTCCTTCAAACGACGATGTGACAGCCCGAAGCCCTGAGCTGCCGTCTCGATGAGGTAATTGACAACCTCTTCTTCTTCGACGGCGCTCAAATGAGATGAATCCCATTTAGTCTCCTCCCGAGGACATGTTTTGCCAGTTGCGTGATTACGGACAGTGTTGTGATTCAGCTTCAGCCAGTGGCCTGTCTTGGCATGCCATCGCTTGCGTGCCTCCTCAGCCACCTCCCGGTAAGACAGGCGCTTGTCTTTTGGCTTCTGTTGCTCATCCAGCCAAATTGCGTGAGCAATCCGGTAAGCTCTTGCCTTTTCCTCTTCTTCTTGGTGTTTTTTTAGCGCGTCGGAGGCTGCGTGCTTTGCCATGGGGGTGTATTAAGGTAGTTTAGTGTTGACCGTAATAAAGCGTGTTGAGGAGCTTGCGGAAAAAGCAGTTATGTGTTCGAAATTGAGGAAAACGGGGGATCAAGGTGCAGCATGACGGGTGTGTCACACTTATGATGCGGTGTGACATTCCCCATCACCGATGACCAATTTCCCCCCTCCAGATGATCTTAAGGCCCTGGAGCTCTCTTGGTGATAGCCCAACCCAAAATTTGCATTTCAGTCAGTCAGAACATGATATTCAGACATCTTTTACTCTCAAAGTTGGTCTCTAGTGTCATGGAAGAGTCACGAAGGATGGTCGATTTTTTTGCCCAATTTCCGCTTTTGGAATGTTTTCCCATCCCTGTCAGCGGAAGCAGTGCCGCCTCTCCCACAAAGGTTGCAAATGGTGATCCAACCATATATTCACCCACAGGATTCAAGAAACATACCCGATCATAGTCCTATCACTCAAAAAGTCACTGTGTACAACTGGGCGGGGGTGTACAAGAAGCCAGTGAATTACTGTACTTGGTTGTGATCTTGGTCATGCTTGGCATCGTCCTCCAGGTGTCTCTCGGCCAAATACTTGGTTCGAGGGATGGGGTCGAAACCATGATTTTGGTCGTGCTTGGTATCTCCCTCTGTGTCCCTCTCGACCAAATACTAGGTTCTAGGAATGGTGTTAGACTCGAGCCAGTCTCCTTGGATTCTGGAGAAAAGGATGACATGAGCGGTATGACTCATCACTTTCGCGGAAACGGAAATAGATAGTGTGATGGGCTTGAATTGAATCAGTTGGCGACTTTTAGCCCTCTGCACATGATACAAAGACCTTACATAAACACATCAAATCTATGAACCAGTTCGTCTGTTGAACTGTGGACTGGCTGGACTCATAAATTTCGTGAAGTCTAAATTTCCAAACACCAATATTTATGATTTTCAGTGCAGTGTTGAAGGGCAGGCATAGCAAGAAAACTTGATATTGTGAGATATACTCTATTTTAAGCAGTACACGGGGGTATATATGTTGCGCAGGGACTGCGACTCTACGATAGCAGCCACAAGTGCCACAACACTGTCATTACCCTCTACAGCTACAAGAGCTGGCTATCTCCTCTTTCTTTGATTCTGACGTCCCACAACATGAGTTTAAGGGTCGTATAAGGTACCCAATGGCACTAGCACCATGGCCTACGAGGCAGACAGCAACATGAGACGACACCCGTGGCAGGACAGACAGCGGTGGCGTGGGGGAGACCTCTTTGCGCTCCTGGCATGGCCTGTGTTGGCAGGAGAGGGGGGCGGTGTGAGAGCTACGAGATGGGCGTCATGTGGGAGAGTGGCGCAGGCATAGTCACTGTTCACGATGAGGACGACGACGCGAAGATGGTGGTAGGAGGGAAAAAGGAGACTGATCTGTTGATGACAACACATGAGATGCAAACAGTTTGCGAACCAGAAATGTTATGTAATGAACCATGTCATGTGCAGAGG